CGGGGGCGGGGGCCGGAGCCAGGACTGCTCAGGCCCAGCTTGAGTAGGCTCATGGAGCTACCCCCTCACTGCGGCTCTGCAGAGTAGCGCTTATCGATTAACTGTACAGCTGATACAAAGTGTATCGACTACACGACTGCCAGCTAAGCGCGTTAACATGTTGCCATGACAGGAGGCAGCGGCTGTGACAACGAACCAGGGATTAAGCGTCCTGAGTCCTCGCCCCAGCTCTCCCATTGGCCTGGAGGGTGACCTTGAGCAAGTCACCTCCCCTTCCTGTGCCTCAGTTTCTCTACCTGTGAGGCAGGGTTAATCACACCCATCTCCTCTCTCCAACGCTTTGAGTGCTCCTGATGGAAAGGACCGGGTAAGAGCAAGCCGCCATCAGCTCTGGCCTCACTCTCCTCAACTGCGCAGCAGGAAGGGGGCAGGTGTCTCCAGCTCTGGCAAGCACTTTGCAGCCCAGGTGTGGAATACTCGCTCTATAAAGAGCTACTGCTATTGCTCCCCTACCACGCCAGGTCTAACCGCTAGTCCCCATTCCATACCCCCGCCTTCTGCACCATCTCAGACACACGCCACTTCTCCAGCCCCAGGGGTTCCACCTGAGCCAGAATCGCCCGAGGAGGCAGGACGAACACAAACTAATCCAAGACCTCCGTGCTCTTCCCCCCCCGGTACACCTTGCTCAGTGTACAGAAGCCAAGCCAGCCTCTTTGCCCAGGGCTTTGTCAGACTGCACTGCCCCAGTCCAACTAACCAAAGACGTCGCAAACGGACTTCACAGAATGACAGAAATGAAGGATGTCATCCAGTCCAGCCCCCCGCGCTGAGGCAGGGCCAAGTAAACCCTCCACCTTGACCTGGGGTATGACCAAGCTGGTCTTAAAAAAATCTCCAATAATGCGGATATTTACAGCTTCCCAACGAAGCTGTTCCTGAGTGGAATTACCCTTGTGAAGTTATTCCTAACACCCACCGTCAATCTCCCTCGCTTCTGAGAGAAGCCCATTGCTTCTTGTCCTACCTTCCTCTTTAGAAAAGCGCTTCACGTTCGGGCTCTAAAAACTCAGCAGTGAGTTACACGGACTGGGGGCTCCATGAGTCCAGCCCCCCTCTCAGCAAAGGCTGCTGCCGGCTCCTACCCTGCTCCCACAGAGCCAATGTAGCTTGCAGGATGGGCTGGAGGGGGCGGGCAGGCCTGTTGGGCCCCACGGGTTCAGCGGAACCAGCAATCCTCATTTGCTCAGACTCTCCAGAGACAGCGGCCCCGCTCCGCTCCTGTTTTCGGAGTCTCTGAACGGAGCGCAAAGCTGCCGCTTCCTCGGTACCGCCTGGAACCAGGAGCTGCTTCGCTCTGTTCAAGCAGGAATCGTCAAGAGGTCCCCTTTGCTCTAGCGCAGCTTCTCTACCACTCAGCTGAGAGCCGAGCACGCCAGAGCCCCACAGGCGGCCGTACCAGCAGCCTCCTCAGCCAAAGCAGGCTCGGGATTCTTTTCCAGAGCCCCGTCGGCGGACAGACAAAGCAATGGCTGCCGGTCTGGTCAGGAAAGCCAGAGGCTGCAGGGAACGCACTTCCCCGGGAGCTCCGAACAGGGCAGTCCCTGGCTCCCCACGCTCGAGGGAAGGGGGGCGTCAGCTCAGCGGAAAGGCAGGGCCCAGGAGCGTGGAGACAGAGAAAGAGCCTTTAGTCATTTTACCCCGTGCTCCGCAGCGTTCCTCTCCGCTCGTTCCGTCTCCGCCCTCTGGCGCCGCTCCACATCCGAGGTGGGCCCGCAGGCCGAGGCGAGGGCTATGTCACGCTGGTGCAGCGCCTCCGTCAGCTGGGAGACCTCCCTCCTCATCCCTTCCAGCTCGCCGCGGTGCACCAAGCATCCACTGCGCAGCACAAGCCCATCCAAACGCCCTCAGCCCCTCTGAATGTCAGTCCACAGATCCCAACCTCGCCACGAAGCGCTGTATCTGTAGGCCTGTTCCTAAAGCACCCTCGTACCTATCTAGGCACCACACAGCATTCATCACTATTTAAAAACAGGAAGAACGGGACCAGCGCTTGCTTTTTCCTCTCCAAGCATCCACTGCGCAGCACAAGCCCATCCAAACGCCCTCAGCCCCTCTGAATGTCAGTCCACAGATCCCAACCTCGCCACGAAGCGCTGTATCTGTAGGCCTGTTCCTAAAGCACCCTCGTACCTATCTAGGCACCACACAGCATTCATCACTATTTAAAAACAGGAAGAACGGGACCAGCGCTTGCTTTTTCCTCTCTGTCCGCCTGTAGCACCGCTGTTAGTGTGTGTAAGTCAATCGGCGCGTCAAGGGTGAGGAGCTTAGCGACGGGTATGCTATTGTAGAAATGAGGTTTCAGTGAGTTCTGAACGGGATGGGATGCCAATCCTTCATCCCTTGCTGGGAACGAGGGCTGTAGGTGCCCAGGAAAGTGCAGTCTGTCCCGCCTAACCCCAGCGGCATGGTGTCCGGCCGTCCCAGCAGGATGGGGCCACTATGGAAGGCCATAGCTGCAGAGAGGGGATCTCGCGGGTTGCTGAGACCAATCCCGTGGAGGGCTAAGCCAATAGGCTGCGTATCCCAGGGAGCCCCAGGGCAGAGCACTCGGGCGATGTGTCAGCTGCTGTGTTCTGGGCTAGCATATGGCTGCGTGCCTAGCTCCCTAGACAGATACAAACTCTCTCATTGCACTGACGACCTGGAACAGGTGCAGACCCAGCTCTCGAGAAGTAAGAGAAACCTCTGGCCCAGCCAGACACCACCGCCTTTCAATCCTCTCTACATTCGTGAGTCTGCAGGCGTGCCAGGGCAGAGTGGCTCTGAGCACACCCCCTCTCAGGAAGGAATCTACCATCCCACCTGTGGGCTGGGAATACATCGGTCACCCTCCCTCACACCAACATACAGCCCTCCGGTGTAGGGTCTAGGCAAGCTAGCGGCGCGGCCCGCC